ACAACGTTGCTTCCGGTGTTGGGGGTAGTTGCGTAATCAGACTACATTTTTCAAGTAACTAGCATTACTTTTACATTTACAACAAAATGTCTTAGTTATGTTTTCAAATAAGTAAAGCGAGTTACTTTGTTTCCCTATTTATTCACTGACACCTCTCCTGTCCCTGTGTTGAGTGAAATTGAGAGTGAGGTGCAGAGGCATTTCCTTCAGACTGAATATTTGATTCCTTCAGTCTTCACTTCTGGTGTGAAAGGGCCTTTACAGTTGCCAAAAATATAATTTTTGGGTGTTTTGTTATTAAAAACAAATAAGCAATTCCATCCTAGGTGACGAAAATTGTATTGCATTTCTAATGCAATGCATTACTTTCCATAAAAAGTAACTAAGTAACATAGTAAGTTACTTTTTTATGGTGTAAAACAATATTGTAAAGCTTTACTTTTAAAAGTAACTTTACCCAACACTAGTTGCTTATTTAATGTTTTTCAGCGCTTTCAAAGTGAAATGTTTTATGAGTGGTTAATACTCTACTACATTTGAAATAGTGTATTACCTACTTTAAACCCTAAATCTAATTTGACAGTGTTAACAAAAACAAATGTGAGATAAAAATACATTTTCTGATAAAAACCATGCCATTTTAGCTTGCTTCTAAAAGTCTTTGAGATCTTATTTTACTAGGTGAGGAAAAAAAACACATATGGAGCTGGTTATGTAAATGTCAAAAAAGATTAGCTTAGAAAACATGCACTATGGTAAACAAGTGTTTTGAGGTCAAAACATTGTATTGTGCAAGTAACATGCAAAAACCTTTGGTTCCGTGGAGGATCTTTTTCAGCAGGTAAAAATGCTTGCAGACTTGTGGGTAGGAGTAATGTGGGAATGGTCTGTTCTTACTCATCAGGTATGTTCACATTCACAATTTATTTATTTGAACGAAAGATACAGACTCGGTATTACTGAAGCTAAGCGAACAAAAACAGAAACAGGCACTTGCAAAGGTCTTCGAAGTGTGTCAATGGACAGTGATATAACAACACACTAAGAACAACCTTGAAACATGAGATATGAACTTTAAGCTCTGTGCTCAGCATATAAACAAATATAGATGCCTGTGATTTGCTCTCCTTTGTCTCTCAAGGTCACGTATGTCCTTGATGAAGTAGGCCTGCACCGGAGGTCATGGAATCAGCACTGGAGCATACGAATGGTCAGCACTACTGAAGGACAGCATACAGCCTCACTAATGGGAAACACTTGCCACTTCCAGTGGCTTTAAATTTAGGTTTGATTAATTCAATGTGCTTGTCTTAATTTGAAGTGGAAATCCCATCAAATGGAATCATAATCTGCCCGAAATAGCAATTTATGGATCAAACAATTGTGTGAGTTTGGGGCAGGGCTACCTGCTTGAAAAATGACATATTGTGTTTGGAAATTTTTTTTTATTTTTTTTATTACAGTTCTGTTTGGTCCTGTAGAGGCATTATCCTTAAGAACACTGGCAATGACACAACAAATGATCATTTAATTTAAATAAATATATAAATAAAAAATATATTGCATAAGTCTGGATAAAGATGCATTTGTGTTTTAAGGTCTTTTTGTTAAAAAGTCTTTGTTTTGAATTGAAAATGGAAATGGGTTTACATATTCTATAAGTATAATTAGGCTTACTTATATATAAGATGTTCTGCATGCAGCAAATGTATGAGCACTTTTAGACCTTTTAGCTCTTTTTTCCCTGTTGCTCTTGCACTCCTAACACAGTAGGGAGAAAGACTTTTCATGACAGTCTTGCTGTGCTCATTAAGAGTGTGCCCTGGTGAATTGTATTGTTTTTGACCAGACAGCTCTTGTTTTGACTTTGTTTATGTTGTGGTATGACCCGATCAGCTCTAGTTGTTATTGTAGCTCTCTGTGGCACATCATTGTTAATATTTGTTGAGTTAATTGTTAAAGGCAGTGCAGCTCTCTTTGTCTCTGCTGCTTTTCTTCTCTCAGATGCAACTCAATTAAATATGTATGTAGTCCAATAAATAGATAAAAAAGAAAGCAGTTATCAAAAATACTGAAGCTAAAAATGACAAAAGATTACTAAATAGCTATTTAGCTATTGGTTAGTGTTATTCAAATGCCTGCATGTTTTTTTTGGTTTCTCTTCAGGTGCAGCAAGTTTTTACATTTTGATAAAACACTTTTTCTTTGGAGTTTATTGCACTAAAATGCCGTGTTGTGCACAATGAAAGCAGGAACATATACTGTTAAGAATGTACAAGGTGTAAATATTAAATGTGATAAAATATTATCTGAAACATCATTTATAGACTTATTGATTTCTATCTTATTCTTAAAATTAACACAACATTCATTTGTAAAGTTTCCTCTTGACGCTAGAAGCTTATTTGTGATTGCAAAGGCAAAGATGCAATGTTTACAAATGAAAGAAACTAACATGAGTCCTAACTTCATTAAAAAATGATTATTAAGAAAGACAGCATCATACAAAATGCATGCTACCCAAAAAATAATCAAAATTAACTGTTTTTATTAATGTCAAAAATATTGTTGAACATCACGGAATGCACCTAAATACATTGATTTATACCAACAAAACTCATGTTTATGCATTCAATCAGGTAGTAATAGCTCTGTAAGATAACAATTACAAGTTACCACTTTTTACAATGAAATTATTGTTTATATATTGCAATTATTGTTTATTATATTAGCTATGTTACTAAAATGCAATACATCTACATGTAAATGTATCAAATGCTTTGAAATATAAACAGTGTTTGTGAGCAATAAATATAAAACGTGTATCCAGACGTGGAGAGAATTGTGTGTGAGAGTGAGAGAAGGGCAGCTGAAGTCACAGAGGACGGTGGGACAGTGGCTGAGAGCCAGATGTTGTCACAGACAGCTGCTTCCTAATGCAGAGATGGAGAATGTGATGACACATGCAAAAGACAGTAGCGCTCGTTCCGTTTTCCCATCTCCCCATCATCCCATTCAACATCATGTATTTTCGCTGCGCAAGAAGAGAAATCCTCACTTGTCCTACACAGATGCAATATTATTCACAAACCTGTGCCACTTACACACCCACAAGAATATATCCCACTGGAACGAAGAGAAATGCAATCTTCCGCACTATTTTTATGCACACACATACAACATCCAAGCGCTCAGCAGTGAATATCAGTGTATAATGAGAAACAAAGCCACCGTGAACAATAACAGCAATAATAAGCGTACCATATCCATGCATCTCTGCCAATTAACATTGCTGCTACTATTTTTAACAATCCCATGGCAAATAAATGTCTAGTTAAACGAAAAAGTGGAAGATATGATACGATTTTAAAGAAAGCATATTCTTTGCCATATTTAAAAACATGCAATCATTTTGCAGTTATGTGTTCGCAACAACAACGAAGTCTATAGGGTAAATACACACAGGCTGCTTTCTTACACAATCATGTGCGAAATGCATTCTAACAATTAAAGCGCAAAAGCTGTGAATGTTTGTTTGCAGGCTTCAAATAATTCCCTTGTGGCACGAAGCGTACTTACACATTCCGCTAATTGCAAACCAAGCACAGTAATGATAAACTAAATTTGGAAAATCTCTCCATTATGTTACATTAGTTCCACAGTTTAAGGCAGCATCTGAAGAAATCAGTTATGAAAACAGGACTTGAAGGCTAAATGTAGCTGGGGTGTGTGATTGTGTGATGTGTTTTCGGTTTGTGCTGGTGTCCTGGAGTGAGAAAAAAAAAAAACAGCTTATTACATCACATAATTAAAGGAAGCCCTGGGCTATGCAACGGAAATCCCTGAGGTGCATTTGACATTATTTGATTGTATTGATTGAGACTGGAAAAGGAGCACATCAAGACAGGCCTCAACCCAGAGAGCAACAGCCTTTGATACTAGTCTGCTGACGTTTGTTGGACATTTCCTCTCCCAGGGAAATTTCCTCTTTCATTGTTGACCATAATAAGACTGAAGCGAACATGTTCGCTCCTATTAAAACTACAACTCTATTAAGAAAGTGCCTGTGACTCTGGGAGGTGATGCTGAGCTTGGATGGCCTTCCTCAAAGCATTCATTAAATGGTTGCTAATAGCAACATGCAAGAGAACATCTATGCAGTGAAAGCCTACTCTAAATCATGTCTAACTTTTTCTATGATGTTTAAAATATGATTCATAGCAAACGCCAATAGTACAATCCAAAACTGAAATACACAGGTGCCTAATACACACTCGGTATCCTACTGTGTATATATTAAACCCTCAGTGTTATCTGTACTGAAAAAAAAGGTAACCTAAAATGGTAACATATGTTACCATTTTTACCATTAACTGGTTTTATTCAAGTCAAAAATACGACTTAAAAACACTGATACATGATTGTATTTACCAACACAACTCATATGGGTTAAATCAGGTAAAAATAGCTTTTAAAGGTTATTGTATTGAATATTATTGTAACCTGAAGACTAGAATAGAATAGAATTGAATAGAATAGAATTATTATGACCTTAGGCAATAACAGAACAAAATATGCCACTGCAATACCTCCCAGCCAGACTTTTCTCCTCATGAAATATTCAGAAACAATATGGAACAAGAGAATATGCAACAGCATATTGTCTTATGCATAAGATGCAATATGCAACAGTGTATTGTATAGTGTTTGGAAGGGGTTTTGCATCTGTCACAACCTGTACGCAACTTTTGCATGTGTGATTGGGGCTGAGAAAGTTCTGTGTTTGGAAAAGTAGCGTTCCCTACAAATCCGCACCGACTTTTAACTCTTTTAAAGAGGGAAGTCAAGGTAAGGTAGCATGTTTCATTTAACATTCAAGCTTTGGGTGATATATAATAATGCACAGATAGCGGCAACCCTAAAACAACAGCAGGAGCTACACGGCGTACACGACAAAAGGCGTCCTGTTAAATGTGTTTAAAACAAAAAGAGGCTCTTACCGAATCTTAACACATGTGGCATCCCGTGAGAATATCCCACACACAGTAACAGCAGCAACAGCCCAAGCCATCTCTGATGAGTTACCAGAGGAGAGCACATCTTCATGATGCCTGCGATACACTGCATGTCATTCCCCTGGATGGATCGTTAGATTCCCACTTATTTCTGCTTTGGAGGTGTTTTTGTCAGCGATGTGATCACGGCATGGTCACTGAGACAGAAGAGGACACTCCGTATCAGCGATGCTCCGCATGTCCGTCTCACTGCGCAAAGGAGCAACCTTCCAACCGGGCGTCCATGTTAGAGAAGGGAAATCCAGGAGAAATCCATGCACGGGTGGCCTGGAAGAGCAGAGCAACACGGGGATGAGTGATGAGAGCTAGTGTAGCGGATCGCTTGACGCACAGGAGGCAGAAGCGGCAGCGACGAGCGCAGGCTGCTCATGTAATGCTGTCTACTGCACTGCTGCACTCACACTGACGTCGAGCCGAGAGCAACGCGAGCGCAACACTGACCACTCACAACATCCATTTCCTACTTTAACATGCTTCACGTCTCAAAGCGAATGCCGTGCATGGATGTAACATCTCTGTTCATAGATATCATGTTCAGAAGATGCTTCAGGCGCAGCCGTTTGTCCGTAAGCTCTCTGCTGTGCAGCCTACGCTGTCTCGTGTATTTCATAAAAAAATATATTGTTTTTTTTTTCACATAGTTTAAGAATCTAACAAATGACTGCAGTTGCAATAGATGAAAAACAAACACAAAACCCTACAACGCACATGCTTTCGTATAAATGTTGAAATTGCACTTATTTACTTATTATTTATTCTTCCTACTGCTCTCGTAAACTGCGCTCACTTTGCAAAAATAATAATAAATAACAGCTTGGGGGGGGGGGTCATTACTGCATATAGATTCTGCTACAATAAAACTATGATAACTTGGTATTCACTGTCAAAAAATGGAGATCTCATGTAAATGATCATTATTTATTATTTTTATCATGATATTGTTCATGCATGTCACAATAAATAATTAACAACTGAAGCCTAATCGTTTTCCATGTTAAATATATGTGATGACATGATAGAAAGTATCAGTTCTTGCCACCTCGTGTGTGTGTGTGTGTCTGTGTGTGTGTGTGTGTGTGTGTGTGTGTGTGTGCACGCGCGCTTAAGTTCTTCTATTCTTCCAGTATTTGTTTCCGCGCTGACAAAATACGAAGATGACAAAATAAGAACATATCGAAGATGATATCTGCAGCTATACGTTGCTCTTTGTGCTCTGGGGGCCATTGAAACCAGGAAAGGGCCTAATGAGGACGAACCCTGTACAACTTAAATTAAAAATGGTGCCCCTACTTTCAAAATAGGCTTAAGATGTGCACTGGAATAGATTGCCTTGAGCTCATGAGAGCGCTGGTGGCTTTCAGCACCACGGACAGCGACGATAGAGGCTCCTCAATCCACTCTACTGTATTTCATCAGTATCCGCATTCACGTCGCTTTATACGGAATCAGCTGCCATCACCTCACAGCTGCAGGAACACACACTCTTTTATCCTTTCAGATGGACCATTAAGGATTTGTTTTCTCCAAGAAATGTCTGAGTATTGTATACAGGCCAACCTCTAAAATACATGAATGCACCTAATGCGACTGTGTCAATTTGAGAGGTGTGTGTTCTTTGATTTAATTTTTTGCAAAAAGTATGGGAAGGATCATTAATGAATCTTATATGTTTAAAAATGCATTTTACTTTATAATGATAAATATGATTTTGTTTTTTGTTTGTTTCACACCCGATGATCCTTTAACTAATCACTCTGGAAAAATCATACCGTATGAAAAGTCATGTTTGCTGTGTATATTCGTTACTTTAACCATAGTTTTGCTTTTGGATTTCTTTCACTTGTGCGGTGTATATGTGCTTATCTGCTCAAACATTCAGAAGATCGTTTTTAAAGTGTTCCCTTTGAGACTGAAATGAAATGTCTCACCATAAGTGATAGCTCCCACAAAAGTAATTCAAGTGGTGCTAAAAGACTCATCAACAGCAGTGACACTATTTCCTGGCAAGGGCATATTTTATTTAATAACTTAGTGATGCTTCCTTCAACCTCTCAGCAGACATACGTGCATGTAGATTCAGAGGGAGAGAGTGTGTGTGTGTGTGTGTGTGTGTGTGTGTGTGTGTGTATGACAGAGAGAGAGAGTGTGTGAGGGGCGGTGCATTTTAAACTAGGATCGTGCAGTCGAACCTGGGGTCTTTATTAACTCACAAGTCATCATAACCCTCTTTGTAATTAAGGTGGACAAAAAAAACAAGGTATCATAACACCACAACCACATTTTTTATTTTTTTTTTGCAAAGGACATTAATAGTTCAATGTAATTGTTACCTCAGTTATTATTTAACCTTTAAAACAAGCACATGCATTAGTCTGATCAGTTGAACTGTTCCGTCCCAGCTGTGAAATTTAAGCTAAACTTTAGTCGTTTCAACGTCTAAACTCGATATTAATTTAAAAGCAACGTAAGAGCCGCTAAAAGTGTGGTGACGGTGAAGATAAATGTCCTTACCTCGGTTGTTGAGAGCAGCTCAGGCTGATGAAGTGTGAGTACAGTGGGAGCAGTAGTTCATGTGTTCAGATGGAGGAGCCGCTCGGCTCTGTGGAGGAGACACGCCTCCTGTCGGACGAACACAACTCCCCGCTTAAAGACACACAGCTTGCGCTGCGCTATAATTCAAAATAAATATATTTAATCGATATATTCTGGGAGTATATCATTTAAAACATTTATAAAGCAAGGTAACGACTAACGAGGTAACGCTGGATTTAACGTATGCTTTCAGCTGCCATTTCACATTAATCGCGTGCTGTAAGTGATAGGAGACGGCAAAAGAAAAAAATCTTATTCATTTTCAACCATGTGTTGGAACTGCTGTGCTGCTATATTAAGCTTATTACCAACACTGTAGGATGGAATTTTGGTGACTGTATATTTTACAATTCCTAACTGAATTGAGGTATGAAAATAAAGTTAGAGAGTTATTATAATATATATATATATATATATA